GTCCCTATGGGTCTCTATGGGTTCCTATGGGGTTTCTATTGGGTCCCTCTGGGTTTCTATGGATCTCTGTGGGTCCCTGTGGGTCTCTATGGGTCCCTATGGGTCTCTATGGGTCCCTATGGGTCACTGTGGGTCTCTATGGGTCCCTATGGGTCTCTATAGGTCCCTATGGGTCCCTGTGGGTCCCTATGGATCTCTATGGGTCCCTATGGGTCTCTATGGGTCCCTATGGTTCCCAACGCGCCTCCTTGGCTCCGCCCCCACAGCCGGCTCCTCCCATCGGTGGGCCGCTGGACGCTCCTATTGGTCGGTTCGCTGCTGGTCGCCTCGCTGCCGTTGGTCCGCCCGCCCTCCGCCCGCTGGGGGGCGCTGTTCCGCGCCGCCGCTCGCTGCGCCGTCACTTCCGCCATCATGGCGGCCGCCGCCCCTCCGCTCTTCGCCTCCATCCGGTCCGCCGTCGGCTTGAACCCTTCGCCCCACGCTTTCGCCCTCGTGCTGTGCGGGTTGGCGATGGGGGAGGAGCTGGGACCGCTCGGAACGCTTCTCCATCCTCCGGACGGCGGAAGTGTCGTCGGGAGCTCCGATGCTACGCTTCCGGTTGGCTCGGAGTCCAAGATGGCGGCGCCCAGCTTGGGGTGGAGGCTGCTGAGAGGGGTGTGGGCCGCCATCAAGATGGCGGCCGGGGGGGGTCGGGCGATCGATCTGGGGGGGGGGGGCGGTGCTGATTAAGATGGCGGCGGCCGCCGCTTCGAGGTGGGGCGGGAGAGGGACGGGGGGAGGTGGTAAGACGGCGGCCGGCGAGGGGATGGAGGCGGGGGAAAACGGAATGGGGGTGATGGAAAGCCGAAGGAAAGCGGCCGAGCTCGGAGCCAAAATGGCCGAGTGGAGGCCGTGGAGGGACGGAACCGGAAGTGGAGTGCTGGAAAGCGGAGGCCGAGCGACAGGGACCGGCATCCCGATAGGCCGGGGTGAGTCGTTTGGGACCGGAAGCGGACTGGTAGGAACCGGAAGCGGCTCGTCGCAGACCGGAAGCGGCCTCCCCCGGAATGGAAGCGGGTTGGCGGGAACCAGAAGAGGCCCGTCAGCCTCCACCCCGCATTTCCTGCTGTTCCTGCTGAACACGGCGCTGCTGCTCCTCCTGCAGGGGGCGCTGGCGGCCATCTCGGCTCCCGGCGCGGGTTTGGGGGCGGGGCTTGGCTGGGCGGGGCACGCGCTGACCTATGGGCTGTGGTTCCGCTGTCCCTATTCGCCGGGGCGGCCCGCCGTGGGGTTACGGGCGCTCTGATTGGTCGGCGGGGCCGTGGGGCGGGGCTTGGAGAGCCGGGCGACCAATGGGATCTCTCTGCGGGTGCCTGTGGGATCTGTAAGGGACATTATATGTGTTTCTATGGGTCTCTCTGCGTCTTCTTTCTCCGCAAATCTCCGCTTTTCCCCCCGATTTCCTGCTTTCCTCCTCTTGCTAGCCACATTCCTCCTTCCCGCCGCTCTCTGAGGCAACTCGCGTTCTGATTGGTCCAAGCCCCTGTCCATCTCTCGCCCTCTGTGGCAACACGCCCTGTGATTGGCCCAAGTAATCTGCCCCGCCCCGCACGTAGCAACACGCGCGCTGCTTGGCTGAAGCCGCTAGGCCGCCTTCGTTCCCGCCACGAGGCTGCGCGCTCTCGGATTTGCCGCTGCCATTTCCTTTGTCCCACCCCGTCTCTCCGTTATCGCGAGCGCTGATTGGCCATCTGCTCACTTCGGTCCCACCTCCTCCTGACAGACACAGCGCGCCGATTGGCCTTCCCTCTCCTCCGCGCCTCCGATTGGCCTGACGCGCGCTTCGTCCCACCCCCTCTCTGAGGCGCCTCGCGCGCTGATTGGCCGGCGCTCCGTGAGGGAGGAGGAAGGAGGCAGCATGGCGGCGGCGGGGCCGGGCGCTGCGGGCACGGCGCGGGTGTCGAGCGGGCGGGAGTTGGGCTGCGTGCCGGAGGTGGCGGCGGCTCTGGGGGCGGTGGCCCGGCAGGGGTGAGGCGGCTTTCATTTTACTGTTAGGAGTTGCCCGGGTTTGGGCCTTTTTTATTGTTTTATTTTTCCTTTTTGTTTTCTTGCATTTAGGTTCGATTTTCTCTGCGCTCCGCTTTTCCATCCCCGTCACCGCCGCGAGTTTCGGCTGCTGCCCGCCAAGGAGCGGCCCGGCCCTCAGACCCGGTCCGACCTGCTGCTGGCCGGGAGGGGTACGGCCCGGCGGGGATCCGATGGGGATCTGTGGGGTCTTACGGAGATCTATGGGGTCTTATGGGATCCTATGGGGATCTATGGGGTCTTATGGGGCTCTATGGGGTCTTGTGGGATGCTATGGGGTCTTATGGGATGCTATGGGGCTCTGTGGGGTCTTATGGGGATCCGATGGGGATCTATGGGGTCTTGTGGTGCTCTATGGGGCCTTATGGCACGCTATGGGGGTCTGTAGGATCTTATGGGGCTCTATGGGGTCTTATGGGGTCTATGGGGTCTTATGGGGCTCTATGGGATCTTATGGGGCTCTATGGGGTCTTATGGGATCCTATGGGGCTCTATGGGGTCTTATGGGGCTCTATGGGGTCTTATGGGGCTCTATGAGGTCTTATGAGGATCTGTAGTGTCTGTGTGGGGCTCTATGGGGTCCTAGGGGTCTCTATGGGGTCTTATGGTCCTCTATGGGGTCTTGTGGGATCTCATGGGGTTCTATGGGGTGTTATGAGAGTCTATAGCGTCCGTGTGGGGCTCTATGGGATCTTAGGGGGGTCTATAGGGTCTCTATGGGGTCCTGTGGGGCTCTATGGGATCCTATGGGCATCTATGCGGTCTTATGGGACCTGATGGAGCTCTATGGGGTCTTAGGAGTCTCTATGGGATCCTGTGGGGATATTATGGGGTCTCATGGGATCCTATGGGGTCTTAGGGGACCTGATGGGGGTCTATGGGTTCTTATGTGGCTGCGTGGAGTGTCTGTGGGGTTCTATGGGGTCTTGCATGGATCTGTGGGGTCTCTGAGGGGTCTTATGGGGCTCTATGGGGTCTTATGGGGCTCTATGGGGTCTTACGGGATCCTATGGGGCCCTATGGGGTCTTATGGGACCTGATGGGGTTCTATGGGTCTTATGGGGCCCTATGGGGTCTTATGGGACCTGATGGGGTTCTATGGGGCCCTATGGGGTCTTATGGGACCTGATGGGGTTCTATGGG